TTCCTTTTACCTTCCACACAGCAGTAGGCTGGACCCATATGGACAGTAAGGTTAGATAAGCTACTACTGCCACACGCATCTTCATATTGGATCCTGCTGGTAAAATCACCAGTGCTAGCAGCCATACCTACACTTTACTGGAATTAGGAATCTTATATAAGTGCAGTATCAATGTAGTTATGCACAAAAACTTGATCTCTCTTTGACATATCTTGAACAACGCACTTTCTAGAGAAAATTCTGTAAATTACAACTCCAAGAAAAATGATATACATTATGCGTCAAATCTACAGAGGCTTATACAAAATGTATTCTTTCCAACCCAAAACGTACATACATCAGGTCTTTAAGCAAGCATGGCATAAGCAACCTGTGACTCAAAATAACTTAATCTGCAAACTTTATCAGAAGAACCACCAGATGCAATGAAAAACATAATCTGAAAATCCAAATTATGCAAACAAAAAACCAAACCCAGAATAAGTATTTTAATCCATTTTCATTCATCCAATCCAAAAACCCCAAAACTCCAATAAGTTCTATTACACAGCACCACGAACAAAATCAAAACTAGCACAATTTATAATAATATATAGCACCACAAACTAACTATTCTTCCAATAACAATAACAAAGACATCACCAAGCACACTAATCACCGAGCATAAAAATTTAACCGTAACAACAATTAGAAAAAAAAAAATATAAAAAGAAAAGGACTGCATTTCTAGACTATTTTGTGATATACCATCTTGATTCTTGGGTCAACACGGTGCAGAAAAGTGACAGGATTAGATATGTACTGCGCAATGGGACTTGAAGTTGCCCCAGATATTGCTCCAAATACTTTCTCCGCAGCAAAAAGATTTCTGGGCATCCATTTTTCCCAGTTTTTAGCGGCCCCATTGCCATTGTTACTGCTATCCGTGCATCTAATTCGTGGTCTGAGCTTTACTGAGTGACAATGGCGCAAGATTAGAGGAGGTTTTGCGGAAGGGGCGAATGCAAGTGGAGAAGGGGATATGGGCAGAAAGTTTTGGTGCCCGATGAGCAGCTTCGGGTACATTTGTTGACGAAGGGAATGACAGACTTTCTATTTGTCTCTATTTTTATGCTTTAAAAAAAAATTTTTATAATAAAAATTAATATCCAAAAATATTTATGTTCTCAGTTTGAAATCATAAAAATAAATATAATAATGTATAATGAATAAAGTGATATTTCTTTAAAATAACATGTGCTTTAACCCTTAAATTGTAAAAATTAGTATTGTTTCCCGTGCAAATGCACGAAATCTATATATATTGAAAGAAAGAAATAAAAAAAATTAATTGTGGAAACTTCATACAAAATTCTAGTCAACTCATTTGACTTACTAATTATGGCAAAAATCCTAAATTTTTTTTGTTTACAAAATTCTGTTCCTTTTAATTATTTAATATCTATAGATTCGTATTGAGATGGAGCAAGAAATCCGCATCTGATATCAATATATATATAATTGCTGGCAAACTTCAATAAATTTTATTCAGCAGCAATTAATAATAATATGAGTCCATTTAATAAAAATAAGTGTTCATTTAATAAAAATATGACCACCATTTAATAGAAATATGTAACTTTTCAGTTACACAAATTTATTTTGATAGGTCCCATTTTGGATGGTGCTCATTTCTAAAATCTTTTTATTTTTTTTAATGTCTTGAAATACAAAATGTTTTTGTTTTTATTTTCATACAATATGTTTTTTGCGATTATAAAAATACATATTTCACAACTAATTAAGAATGACTACAGATATCTCTATTTTCTATTGTAGTCATATAATAATGAAAAAAATATTATTTTGGATATTACAAAGATGTTTAAAAAATCAAATCCCAGAGTCACGATGGGTTTAACGATAATGATTTGTTGTGATAAGAATTCTGACTAGAGGAAAAACATGAATGTTGTATATATAGAGATGTTTAATAATATTTTGATTCACATTTTTAAATTACTTCTTTTCTCATTTATTAAGTTAGGATTTTTATTTTAATATATATTTTTAATTACTTTCTCTTCTATTATATCGCTTTTCGTGCAAATGCACGGGGTAAAACTAGTTTTAATTGACTTGTTGTAACGCCCCACTTTGATTTTAAAGAAATTCCGGACTTTCAGAAAAATCAGAATAAATTTTTTAAAATTTATTCCAAACATTTGTGGCGTTACGCATATATTTCAAATTACTTCAACGACATAACATCAATTTCACAACATAAATCATCTAACTCCCAAAACGGGATTCACAAATCCATACATCATCAATTCACCCAAATCGGCTCCCAAAATAAAACTCAAGTTGCAAGACATACCCAAATCTCCCCAATAGTATCTCAATACTACATAAATTCTCAGAGTTCGAAGATTTATGAATAATAAATAATCATAAATATAGCGGAAGCAAAACCAATTAATAACCGGTCTCATAGACCGACTACCACTCGCTCTACTCCGCCGTCGTACCCGCCTTGCTTAACCTGAAACGTTAATTTCAGGTGGGGATGAGCACAGTTGGAAATCGTAGTGCTCACCACTATGCAATAATCATTTTCATAACATAAACGGTAAAAGAGATAGTATGATCACAGCATGTGTAAGAATCAATTAAGTATCCCAAGTTTTTAACATAAATTCACAGTGTTTAGACTCATGTGCACATCTATACCAATAGACTACTGCCGGTAGATGTATCGAAGGCCCTCACTCGTGTCATGCTTCGAATGCCCCATAGGCTCTACATCTATGTCCTCCGGTCTTATATACCGAATGCCCCTCGGGCTTCTATCGATGCCCAACAATAGGAGTAACCCCTTGGGTTTATTTTCATAACTACGGGAACAACCGTTCAATGGCCGGTACAGCTCACATCGAAGGCTACACGATTCGTAAGCACACATTGATCATATAAAAGTAAAGCAAACAATTATTGGATAAACAATTTTTAATAAAACCACCTGGTCGAAGCAACAATTCACAATCACGATTCTCGAAAGCAGGGTGAGGTCAACACTTCAAAATACCTACATTAAGTCAAGGTACTAATATCAACACCTTATCTTGACTTAAAAAGGAAATCACAATTATACTTAGTCGAACTTGATTCGACTAAGTTGTTCGTGAAGTCCTGTGGACATTGGAACACTTAGACTCGGCTCTAAGACTTAGCCAAACACGCATGGGAGTTCACATAATCTCTATCAAAGATTTACCAAGTCAAACAGACAAAGATTAGCATGCGAGTCGGTTTACAGTTTTTAACTCAAAAGCTATATTTTCAAAATAAAGCAGGTAATTAACATAATCAAGTTGGTCAGGCTACCGAAAGAGTTAGACTCTGAAATTTTAACCAAAAATTCACCTCCCAGAACTTAGTAAAACCACCAAGTTTCAGCCCCAAACTCAAAAGGCACGATTTTATAAAATTCAAACAAGTTAACAGCAAAAACGAACATAAATTAATAACCAGACCTATTGAACAAATTAGCCTATGAAATTTTTATCCAAGGAACCTCAGCATGTAAAAATCTAAGTTTTAAACACATAACATGCGAATTTATAAAAGGGTTAATTGCCACAAAAATCATAAACTTTGCTTAAATTGCATATTAAACTCAACTTTTTTAATTTTGCACAAAAAATACAAACCTTTTTAAATTTTTGCAATCATGTCTCAATGTTGACTTCCGGCAATGGGCTACTTACGTGGCCTATAGAAAAAATGACGGGGCAATCAAACTCAATATCTTGTGCCACTTCAGCATACACGTGTATGATCGAAAAACATTTTATACATCAAAATTAAAAGTACTGCTAAACTTTTGTTGGAAATTGTGGGTGTGGTAAAAGGAAAGAAAAAGTCGGAGCAGTCGGCCGTGCACCATGACCGGTTCTTCTTCATCGCCGCCGCAAAACGGACCGAAAATCCCCTTTCCGCTGCCACTTTCCAGATCTACCAAACTCCAGCAACTTTCTTCCGCGCAATCAACCACCTGCACGCCGGAGAACGCCACGTAAGCCACCGTCCCCACCCGATCCACGGCGAAGCTCAGCTGGGCGGCGGCGTTGGCGCTGCGGCATTGCCGCCACGATTCCTCGAGGAGCGGCGTCGATGCCAGATACGCCGCTAGCATCTCGCTGGACTCGAACCGGCGAGAGGTTGAGACACCCTCATCACCTCCGGCCACCACTCCAACCGGCGAGAACTCCTCCAGCAACTTCCATTCCGTCAAATGAAAAAATTAATTACAAATTCGAGAACAATAACTATTAGGGTTTTGGGATTCGTGGTTGAATCAAGCCATGAATTCGAGAAATTCGAGAAGAATACCTGTTAGGGTTTCTAGATTGGAAATTCGAGAAGAACTCGATTATTTGGCGTGAATCAAGCCAATAATTCGCATCAAATTTTTGAGGTAAATCGCTGCCCGTGGAATGAATGGAGAAGAAAGCTCGGCTCGTCGGTTGTCGCTGCTCTTCTTTCTTTTTTCTCTCAGATTTCTGCGAATAAGCAAATAAGGGGAATGGGAGAGATTTTTTTTTTTGGAAAGATNTATTGCAGTAATATGACGTGTAGGGATGAAGTGATGTGTACATACACGTGTATGCTGAAGTGGCACAAGATATTGAGTTTGATTATCCCGTCATTTTTTCGATAGGCCATGTAAGCAGCCCATTGCCGGAAGTCAACATTGAGACAGGATTGCAAAAATTTAAAAAAGTTTGTATTTTTGGTGCAAAATTAAAAAGGTTGAGTTTAATATGCAATTTAAGCAAAAGTTATGATTTTTGTGGCAATTAACCCTTTATAAAATTGTAACAACATTCAGCGAATTTCAATGTTTCAGCAAAACCTAACCAATCTAAACTTTAAAAATTTCAATATTTTTACAGCATGAAACACATTACAAAATAAGCACTTCAACTAAAAATCAGAATTTTTCAGCATCAGATCAATTTATCATAATTAAAACAGTTTTTGGCAGAATCACAAAATAAATTATTTACCTTAGCAAACTGAGTCCAAAAATTCTGAAAATTTTAAACAACAAGTAAACTTGCCAGAGACACAACATACTCGAATTTCAGCTAATTTGGAGCACATATCAATTTATTATGAAATAAACACGATTCTGCCCAGAAATCAATTTAATTGATTAAATTAGCTACAGGCCGAATAAAATTATGAAATTTTTACACAAGCATTATATTCATTAGAGGACATAACACATAAAATTTCGTGGCAATCGGAGCAAGATACAATTTTTAACGAATTAAACCCGAAAACAGCAATTATACGAGTACAACAAATCATAAATGACTCGACTACATTCAAATTGTTCGAGGCCTTCACCATAAGGCCAAGGATTCATTATGTTCCAATTCCCAAAGCACTTTACATGTTTATAACGAGGTCTCGTTCGATCCCACAGGAATCGACACGAGATCTCAACACATATACAAAATATTATTTCATAACATAAAATAATAATCTCCTAGGCATGAACACATCAAAGATAAGATACACGAAATTAAACGAGAGAGGGAGTTCGAGCCTTTGTACCATTCTTGGGAAAAGGAAGGGTCGAACGAGGGTTTAACGGGACTTCGGGCTAATGCTTGGTGAACTCGAATGGCCAACACGCTCGTCGAAGAAATCCCGGCGAGGGCTGTCGTGAACCAGAACGGGCAGACGAGGGCCGTCGAGGACGGAACCCGCTGCTGCAATGGTCGCGCGGTTGTGGAGGTTTGCAGGCGTTGCAGGCGCGCGGAGGAGCAACAGCTCGAGGATCGCCTTATGCTGTTGGTCGCGGGTGGTCTGCTGGTCTGCTGGTTCGCGGAGGAGGAGCTTGTCGGATGGATGACGGCGGCAAGGGGAGGTCTGCTAGCAGTGGTCCTGTCGGGTATCACAAATTTCCGGCCTCGCGACGGCTCAGCAGCGATTTGGTTGGGCCTGCAAGGATTCGTCGGAGTTGCTGGGCTCGCCGGAAGAGGCTGGTCGCGGCGGTGATGCAAGGTCTCGCGGCGGAGCAGCAGTTAATAGCGAGCCTGAACGACTGGGACTCGATGGCGGCGATCGAACTCGAGATGCAGCGGCGGTGCGCGAAACGCAGGCCGGAGGTAGCGGCGGCCTGCTCGCGTGGTTGCAGCGGTGGTCGCTCGCCGGTGGTGCTGTGATGTCGCGCGGCTGGAAGGTGGGTCTGAGGGGAAGAACTCGCTAGCGATCCACAGAACGAGGGGGAGAGATGTGGTGGTCGGATTTTATTGGCGAGAGAGAGTGACGAGATCTGAGGGGCGTGAGTTTTATTAGAGCATCTCCAATGTGTGATGTTGACTTAATAAAATGTTAGCCACATCATCAAGTTATAAAGTGATTACAAAAATTACTCTCCAATCCATAATGTTATGGACTCTTTTATGCTGATATGGAGACAATAAATATCCAAAGTGTGAAGCTCACTTTCTAGTTTTCCAAAGAGTGTTTGAAAGCCAATTCATAAAAAATCTAACCTATTTTAATCTTTTGAAAGGGATGCATTGGAGATGTGCATTCCAAATTAAAGTCTTCTCTTTTGACATTCATATTACATGGATTTACATTCCATTCATCATTTGACATGTGTTCAAATTTAATTAATATTCAAAGTGGAGCATTGGAGATGCTCTTAGACGAAGAGAGATGAGAGCAGAATAAAAAAAAAAGCTGCGCGTTTTTTGGGGTGAGAGAAGAGATGAGAGAACAATCATAATATTAGGTTTTAACATCTTGCTCTTCAAGACATCACGCTCACACGCGCAAGAGAGAGATAGGATCTGAACCGAGTCGGGGTTGGGGCGCGCGGTTCTTCGGTTTGCAATTTAAGAACTCGAGACGGTTCCTACAGTTCTCCAATTAATAAATTTTAACGGCTCGATTTAGCTAATAAAAATGGCTCGGTTCGGGTCGATAATACTTAGAAGATCGGAATAATTAGTTCTTATGCGTTAAAAATAATAAGGCTCGATTCTGAGTTCTCGGGCTCGATTCTCGATCGCTTGACGTTTAAAAATAAAATCGTATATATATTTAATACACATAATATTTTATAATAATATTAATAATATGCATTCAAACATTTAATTCACAATTAGGCATTCATTAAATGACAATAATAATAATTATATTAATAATAGTAATAACAATAAATAATATCAATAATAATAATAAATAATTCTAAATAATCCATAAATAAACGGGGCGCTATAGTCTACCCACCTTACAAATAATTCCGTCCTCGAAATTCGAAAAAACAAATCACGACAAGATACTAACGAGAAATAAGAGGAGACAACATCAATACATGAAATTTCCGTACCTTCTCCATATTTCAGTTTCCCTCTCCCAAGTCGTCTTGCCTTGACAACCACCACTTGACTTTGACGAGTACCCCTCCCGGTCTTTTCTAAAAGTCACTGGTACCTCCAAACAGGTAGGGTTCTGCCTATCACGCAGCTCGTCACATCTCACATGTACTCCGAGGTCACGCACACGTTTCCTCCATCAAGAGGCACAGAACGTGTCATGTATCCTCGCGAGTTCCGGTGGTGGAGTCAACCATCAGGCTAAATCATCAACTTGGTCGGGAATCAAAATAGGACTGAGTACGCGTGGCAGTAACCAGAACAACGGCATACTCCACCTCTATCCGTACCAGCCACCTCGCATGGCACTTGTAGGGTTGTCGCGAGATAACCATCGTTACCAGCGTATGTGTTGTGCCCATTTATTTGTGGTTTATTTGAGAATTATATTATTATTATTATTATTAATGATTATTATTATTGTTGCTATTATTAATATTATTGTTATTATTATTATTGAATGTCTAAATATTATTATTTTTCTAATTGTAATTACTATTATTATTATTATTTTAAAATAATGTGTGTATAAATATTACCCTGTTTCATTTAATTTATCGTGCGATCAATTTGAGCTGTCGAAATTATTTATCGGAGAATCGAGCTCGAGAGCCTGCCCGAGTGAACCGGCCCGAATCCTTAGAAGCCGGCCGCTTTGAACCGAATCGGCCGACCCGGTCTTTCTTACCCTAACCGTGCGTGGGTGTGTACTATTTGTGAGATAAGAAAACCTAGACTGTTAATTCCTTGCGCTCACCTCTCCTTCCCTCAAACACACCCCGCAGCTTTTCTGACTCGTCTCCCTCTCGTTCTCAATCTGCTCTTTTCTTGTCAACCGCAACCTCAATCTCTCTCTTTTCTCTCAAGACCCGATCGCTGCACTCATAATCTCTCTCGCTCACGATCACACGCAGAACAGAACAAGAGAAATCCCGTTCGCCGAAAGAAAACCCTTCTCTGCTCCCAACTCTATCTCGCCACCAGATTTCCGGCGAGATTCTTTCTTCCCTCCGCGAGGTGTGAGCAGGCCTGCAACTCCACAATCCCGGCGAGTTCTTCTCCACGAGCCTCCTTCCCGGCGAGTTTTCCCCTGCCCGCGAGCCCGTCCTCCGCTGAAAAACCAGTCGCTACACCTCCGGCGGGTCCCTTCCATCGACGATTAGAACCATCCGCGAGCAGGCCCAACCTCGACGACGTGGAGGAAGAACCTGTCGCGAGCCCTTCCGGCGATCCTCCGCCGCGACCAGTCCATCTCCGATGACGACGCCCTCATCCTCCGTGAGCAGACCACCGCGAGCCGCTGCCGCTCTGCCTCGTCGCAGCGCCTTCTTGAGCAGGCCGCGCCCCCTGCCACCATGAGCTGCCCGGCGACCTTCTACGCGTGTAACTCCCGACGACCATCACGGCAAGGACGACCCTGAGCCGCCGTCTCAGCCGCTGCAGCCCTTACCGGCGATTCCATGCCACGCTGCTCCTTCTCGAGCCGCCTTTTGAGCCGCTGCTTCACCAGTGAGCCGCACGTGACCCGTCGAGCCCGACGTGCGCGACTCTCGATCCCTGTCAGCCCCTCTCTTGTCCGTTTTCGAGCATCTTTCCCGAGAACGGTAACGACGGCTTAAACCCTACGTCTTTTCGTTGATATGATTGATCGTGTTATGCGATTCGTTATATGTTATTCAAGTGACATGTGAGATAAATATATGTATTGATTGATGTTATATAATAATAATCGTCGTGTTGATATATGAATTTCGTCGATTCGTGCGAATCAAACAAGAGCTCGTTAAAAGTGTTAAGTTGCTGTGGATTTAGGGACTTAGGATCGTTATGATCACAATGGTTTTGACCTTGTGTCGTTTGGGTTTATAGATTGGGAGATATCAATCGTCGAAGTTCATAATTGCTGTTTTGAATGTAAAATTCCTCATAAATTGAATACTGGTCCGATTGCCTTGAAATTTTTGGTGCAGCTGCTTTGATGAATATGTAGCTTGTGTAAAATTTTCGTGATTTCTAAAGGGCTGTAGCTATTTTTAAAAATTAATTTGAATTATGTCCAGTTTCTTGTTAAATGCATAACTAATTGTGTAATGCTCCAATTTGGCTGATTTTCGAGTATGTTATGTCTCTGGCATGATTATGTGTTGTATAACATTTTTAGAATTTTTAGACTAGGTTTGGTAGGGTTAATAATTTAATTGGTGTTTCTGCCCAAATTTGTTTTAATTGTGATAAATTGGTTCGAAGCTGAAATTTTGGTTGAGATAATGATTATGTGATGTTTAGCATGCTGTAAAAATATTGGAATTTTTGGAGTTCGTTTAGGATCAGTTCTGATAGAAATTTGATAATTGGCTGAATGTTGTTTTAATTTTATAAATTCACATGTTGAGTGTTTAAGGCTGATATTTTTATATGTTGCTGCTCATATGCTGAAGTTTTTTAGATAAAAATTTCATGGCCTGAATCGTTCATTATTATGTGTTTCTAATTTATGCTCGTTTTTATCAAAAAAATTGTTTGAATTTTATAAAATTGTGTGTAACGAGTTTGAGGCTGAAACTTGGTGTTTTTACTAAGTGCTGGGAGGTGAATTTTATGTAAAATTTTCAGAGCCCAACTCGTAGGTTTGATATACCTTCTTTTTCAAGTGTTAATTTTAGAAATTGTTTTATTTGGTGATTTTCGGTTAAGTGTTGTTGACCGAATTTGCTATGTGTCTACGTGTGACTCATTTGTTTGTCTTTCACTTGCAATTATGTGAACTTGAAAATGTGGTATGATCGAGTCTAAGTCCTAGTGTTCCCATATCCACAGAACTTCACGAACCACTTGGTCGAATCGAGTTCGGCTAAGTCAATTTGTGAATTTTTTACTTAGTTCTAGATTAAAGTGTTGACTTTAGTATCTGGACTTAATGTAGGTGTCTAGAGGTGTGGACCTCGTCTTACTTTCGAGATTCGTGATTTGATCTGTTGCTGCATCCAGGTTGGTACATTTATGATGTATTCCATATTTATCGCACTTATTATTTCGTGTAATGTTTCTTTTGAAAATTATTGTAGGCATGAGAACTCTAGTCCAAGTGTCCCGAACGATAGTGCCTTTGATGAATGCGAAAGCAGTAGGAGGTCGCCTGCCCGTTGTATCCGGGAGGGACGCCCCAAGCCGTTGTATCCGGAAGGGGAAAAACATCTCTGCTGTCTCCTGGAAAGGATCCTATGAACCGTTGTATCCGGGGGTAGGAAGGTTTCCAGTTATAGCCATGCCGTTGTATCCGGAAGGTTGTTGTATATACATAGGAGGTTTGCGATAGGGCCGGGTAAGGGGTTTAGGCTATGAATTCTATGCATACTCATACCGATTACTGATATTGTATACTGTGGATAACTGCTTTTAAAATTATTATACAGAATAATTGTGAGATAATGGTGAGCTAGTTGGTTGCTCACCCCCATTATTTTCTTTGTTGTCTTTTCTCTTCCTTTGATTTAGGTTGAGACGAGCTGGAGGCGGTGGCGTAGGACGAGCGAGATGGTGGTCAATATGTGATGATTATCTTATACTTCCGCATGAACTTATTTCTTATCTATTTGCTTTCATATACTATGGATTATTTATTGCTTTTGTTTCGAACTATGTTTAAGTTGGTTGAACCTTGAATCATACTAGACCTTTTTGAAATGGTTTTGAGACTTATGTTTTATGGGATTTGTTATATCGTTAGCTCGAGCATGTGTAGGTTCTTTGAATTGTTGGATGTGTGTTGTTTGTTGTTGTTAGTAAGTAGCGTCCGTTTCTCATTAAATGTTTTTATTTTGGATTTAAAAAACAAAAAAAATATAACTCTGATTTTTGTTAAATAAATTCGGTAAATTCTTTAAAGTAAAATGGGGCGTTACAGTATCTCCCCATGGTAAGGAATTTCTCACACCCTACTCATCTATCAATACACAAGACCCTATCCGGTCCTTTCGTGTCTTGATAGCATACCCCGACAGACTAACCAGAAAGGGTTGATTAGGAAATTCATACAACGGTTCGATGGAACTTGGAGTCCCCGGTTCAAGGTTCAGGAGAAACAGTTCCAAATGTCAACACTAAAGACAAAGAATACTGGTTTACCAACCCAAAAGAACATAGTCGGTTTGGAGTTTAATGCACTGTCACTCGAGAGATGACATACACACTGGCGCTGCATAAACGAGGCGCTGGGACGCGTGCGTGCACCTGTTTGGCACTAGACCATAAGTTGCTTTAGGTAACATAATTATTGTAGCATTTTAAAATTTTTTTGTTTATGCAACATATTACTGTAACACTTTTTACATTACCAAATTTTGAGATATTCATATAACACTCTTGTAACATTTTAGTAATATGTAATATTTGTATGTAATATTTTTTATGAAGTAACACTATTTTAGTAACACATTTTTAGTTGTCATTTTTTGTACATTTAAGTATCATTATCAATAAGCAATATTTATAATATTTTATTCATGTAACACTTTAGCAACAATAACGTTTTAGTTAGGGATTTGTAACATACTAAAAATTATTAAAATAATTAGACACTCTCTTAAGTGAATTAGTTGGATTGTCATTATTTTGTATCTAAAGCTGGAGTGTAGAAAAATTGAAAAAAGTTGAAGTGAAAATAAAAAAGTAACTTAAATAGTTTTGCAATTAATGACTCAATAATAATAATATTGCAATTTTCACTATGAATCAAACACTAATTATATAATGAGAAAATAATTCTCAATAATTTACCAATCAAAAAATTACTATTCTCAGTAAGTTGGGCTTGGTTTTCGTTTCTAGCTTTGTGCGACCATTTTTCTACTATTTTATTTTGTTAAAAGAAAAACAAAATAAAAAAAAAAACCAAACATCCTTACGTTAAAAATCTTAGGTCACCGTCTCGGGAAAAATTGGGGGAAACTAACTTCTGAGTCCTCATAGTTGTCTTCCAGCAAAATCCTTCTCCATCTCCAAAATTTATGTGATTCCCGTCCACTGGGATTCAATGGTATGTTCTCTGGTATCTTCTTGTGCAAGATTTTTCCTACTTTATATTATTGGTTTACCCATGATTATCCCGTTGAAAAGTTTGATGTGCAAATTCTGTCTAAATGTTTGATGTGCGGAAATATAGTCTAGATTTTTCGAAGTATTATATGTCAAGTTTAAAGTTACAAATTTAGAATAATTATTTGATAACATCATAAATTTTTCTTGCATAATATCCTCTAAAGTTTTAGTTGTGTTTTCTAATTGAAGTTGGGTAATGGATAGTCAAGGAAGCCAATGGTTCAATTGTTTACAATCTAGTAGTGAGTATGCTAAAGGAGTTGAGGAATATCTAGAGCTTGCATTTTCTACTCAAGCTCGGGGGGATCAAATTACTTGCCCGTGTAAGAAATGTTATCATCGGTTTTGGCACAATAGAGTTGAAGTGTATGATCACTTGATTGCTAACGGTATTGGTTCAGAAATCAAAGAGTGGCGTTTTAATGATTACGGTATGTTCTTCCAGTCCAATACAGTAAAGGATTGGGATAATTTCATACCGAGCATGCATGATGATATGGAAGGTCTGTTATATAATACCCATAGGAATATAGTAGACGAGTTTTCAGGCCCCGAAGAAATTGAAAATGCCAATGTGGAGACCAAAAAGTTCTTTAAATTGGTTGAGGATGGAAAACAAGCGGTATATCCTGGGTGCAAATCGTTTTCAAGATTATCATTCATTATTCGATTATACCTTTTCAAGTGTGTCCATGGGTTAACTAATATGGCGTTTTCTGATCTTTTGGAAATTATACAAGAACTGGTTCCTGAAGCCAAGCTGCCAAAATATTTTAATGAAGCCAAGAAGTTAGTGAATGACTTGGGATTTCAATATCACAAAATTGATGCTTGTCGTAATGATTGCATGCTCTTTTGGAAGGACAATAAAGATGCAAATACTTGCCATATTTGTCATACTTCGAGGTGGAAAACAATTGAAAACGAGTCAGGAAGTGATGATAATCATGTGTCAAAAGATGCTCGTCAAATTCCAGCAAAGGTACTTTGGCACTTTCCTTTAAAACCTCGACTTCAAAGAATGTATATGTGTTCTGAGACAGCTAATTATATGAGATGGCATGATGAGAAAAGGCAAAAAGATGGGAACTTAAGACATCCTGCTGACGGAAAAACTTGGAAGAATTTTGATTCTTTGTATCCTTGTTTTGCTAAGGAACCTCGTAATGTTCGACTAGGTCTTGCAAGTGATGGATTTAATCCCTTTAGAACCATGAGTACCGCACACAGTACATGGCCTGTTGTTCTAGTTAACTATAATCTACCGCCGTGGTTATTTATAAAGCCAGAGTATTTAATATTGTCTTTAATAATACAAGGGCCATTTTCCCCGGGAAACAACATTGATGTTTACCTTCAACCTTTGACCGACGAGCTAAAAGAATTGCGGGAGTCTGGTACAGAGACGTACGATGCATCAAAGCGTCATACATTTCAGATGCATGTTGCTCTACAATCGACGACTAGTGACTTTCCTGGCTATGCAATGCTGTCCGGATGGAGCACGAAAGGAAAGTATGCTTGTCCATTTTGTCATTAAGAAACAAATCACTTGTATTTGAACAAAAGCAGAAAATCATGTTATATGGGTCATCGCAGATTTTTGGATGCAAACCATCCTTGGCGCGAAGAAAAAAAATCATTCAATGGAGAATGGGAAAAAAGAGAGGCTCCAATACCTTTGACTAGCACTGAGGTTTTATATTTGTTGCAAGATTTTGAAAATAAGTTCGGAAAGATGCAGCCAAAACATAAAACTGACGATTGTCCATGGAGAAAAAAATCATGCTTTTCACCCTGCCATACTGGGAGTATCTTTCATCTCGCCATCATTTAGATCCTATGCATATAGAGAAAAATATAACGGATAGTGTTCTTGGGACTTTGTTGGATATTCCTGGAAAAAGGAAGGACCATTATACGGCTCGTTTAGATATGAAAGAAATGGAGATAAGAACGTCACTACATCCTGTGGTGTCTGTTAATAACAAACGTTGTTTTTTTGCCTAAAGCTTGTTTCTCAATGACTAAAGAGGAGAAAACGCTGTTTTGTGATATTTTAAAGAAAGCAAAACTACCACAAGGTTGTGCGTCGAATATTGAAAGATGTGTGCATATGAAGGAATTGAAAATATCAGGCTACAAAAGCCATGATGCACACATTTTAATGCAATACTTGCTCCAAGTTGCAGTTCGGAAAACTTTACCCAAGCATGTAGCTCTGGCTTTGATAAGACTCGGTGCTTTCTTTAGAGGTATATGCAGTAAGGTTATTAGTCCAAAAGATCTGGATCATCTGCAAGCTGAAATAGTTGAAATCCTTTGTATATTTGAAAAGATTTTTCACCTTCATTTTTTGATATCATGCCGTATTTGCCTATCCATTTAGTGGATGAGGTTCGTTCAAGTGGGCCAGTAAGTGGTTGGTGGATGTTCTTTATGGAGAGTTACCTTGGCAAACTGAAATCATTTGTTCGAAATCGTAGTCGTCCAGAGGGTTCTATAGCCGAAGGATATCTAGCCGAGGAGTGTTTGGTGTTCTGCTCGAGGTACTTGCGTGATGGAAAGAAAAAACGACCGAGAAGCATTACTGCAAGTCATGGGAAAGTTGTTTTGGGTAACAAAGAGTCTCCTATATTTTCTCAGAAGGGTTATCCTTTTGGGAGAAGAAAGAAGCATAAGAAAGGGAAAGTATACCGTTTAGATTCTAAGTCAAAGAATATAGCACATCGATACGTTTTATTTAACTGTGAAGATGGACAAATTCAAAAATATCAAGAGTGAGTGTGTTTTTCAATATTTTTTCCTT